ATAATAATAATAATTCTATTCGTTCCATCTACGCTTTCATCTGACTCTTAAATGAAGATGAGAAAAAAGTTATTTGTATCTCTGATGTATATACTTATATTAAAAATTTCTAGCACTTTAAAAAAATTTTTTAATATACATTTTTAATAAAAACCAAACTGCTGCAGTAATTTCCACCCGATTGAATATTTCGTCATACGAAGAATATGCGCCATACGTAAATTTGTGAAATGAGTTACGCAGCTATCTATATAAGAAATATTTGTTTCTGTTTACTTACTCTCACCGTTTCTCCACACATCATTCTTTTCTACGTGATACAAGAGATTCAGATTCATCCACTGAAATACCAGTACAAATTTTTCAACGAAATATGCACCTTATTCTTACGTTCCATTGCACTCTCTCGCGCTCGAGAAACCACTGGAGCGGAAGACGCGGGAGCGTAAAATACAATATTCGGGCTTGTTCGAGATCGTGTAATGTAATCTGGGTGTAAATCGCGACGGTGCGCTGCGAAATGCGAGCGGGGCTGCTTGCTTGGCGCTGCAGTTCACGTATGTAGAGCAAGTGGCAGCGTTCCAAATCTCGCGAGTACGTGGGATAAACATTTCCGCCATAGGACAACCGTTTTCCAACGGCTTCGGGGGGATATGCGCTCCACGCGATATGCTCCATAAAAGTATCAGTCCACTTGTGAGTATCTCGTGACAGTTTTTGCATGCCAACTGGACAGCAGACACGTTTGCGTAGAGCAAACGAATAAAGCCTTTATGGAGAATTTCTTCATCAGAGAAATGAGGGAAAATCAATTTTGGTTTTAATCAATTAGGATCGAGAATATTTTGAAAGAGAGAGAGAGAGAGAGAGAGAGAGAGAGAGCTTTATATTAAATAATGTTACCTATTTAATTATTATTATTATTATTACATACAAGCAAAAGCGGTTTCTATCATTTCTACTTTGCCCTTTTAAACTTGTTTCTTTATCAAGCTGTTTATATTCTATACTGTTATTAAATGGGTAAAATATCGAAAATATCACAGAGAGAAGAAATGAGACCGTTGACAGTTTTGATATAAAACTGATATAAAACTGATACATTTCACAAAATATTAAAGTTTCTTATTCAACTACAATTTTGGATATTATATTTAGGAGTTTACAACGCACTTGTTTGCACAATCACGTCGTATATAAGAACAATCCCTGAACTCACCTTCTAGTGATTTAGACATTTTAACGTTACTCATCATTTCTTCTTGCACTGTAAACTGTTAGAAATTTCTGCGATACTGCTTTAAAAGTAGTAAATTTTCAAGTTTCATCCACGTTTATATTCGAATATATTTTCTCGTTTCTTCTGTGAAGTTTAGAGTCGCAAAGTATTTCTGAAGATATAATATGTTATTTAAAAAATTTACTATTTAATTTTTACTTGAAATTTATGGTGGCGAGATAGTATTAGCGTTAATGTGAATTGCATTGAATGAAATTGAAGTTAATTAAATAGAAATCCACTTCCTTTTTTCTGGTATAGCTTTGTTATAAAAGCTTCATGTTAAGCAAAATGTTTGAATCTAGACTGATTTCGAGACTCTTTCGATTTAATGATTTGTACCTTGTTATCTTCAGATAATTAAATTTTCGGATGACATTGATATTTGGAAATTACGTTTGGTTCGTCGTTTATCGAATTACGCTCTAATGAATCGATATTTGAGATTGAGCGTGTAGAATAGATGGGATTAATATTCAATGGAGATTTGATATTCGACATCTATTAAATCGATTCTCGTTCAAATATTGACACATGGCACGTGATCATGAAAGAAAACTTACATAAATCGTGCGTTATAATGAACTAAAGTCGTCTAGGTTTTCACTCAATTATTACAAGAAAAATGAGGAATTTATAAGTAAAAGTTTGAACGATACGGATATAATAAAATTGATAGCAATATATTATTACATATAAATCGATAATTCAATTACTCTGATTTAAAATATTTAAAAAAATGATTTTTTAGTAATATTCCTAAATTTTAACATCTGTCTGAAAAATACAAACTTGTATAAAATTTTGTTTAATTTAGTAAGTAGTCTCATTGTGAACAATTTATTTAATACTGGACTTTTGGTCTAATTTAAATAAATCTATTTTTAAATGTATAAATTTGGATAACTATTATTTCTTTCTATCCACTATAAATATCATAATTTTTAATTTCGTTCAAATGAAGATGGTTTCAGAAAGATACAGAAAGAGAGATAACAATTTTTGTAGTAACTTTTGAGTTTTTTTTTTAGACACGTTAGCTGTGAACTCGTATGAGAATTCACAAGGCATTACACTGAGCTACAAGCGAGCTTGAGTACTTCACGGGCACTAATCACACTAACTGGTCATGATCGGCAAACTTTTCGAACGATTCTCGTTCCTCGTCGTCGGCCGACCGAACGATTCGACGAACGTGGGAACGACCGGCTCGCGCAACTAATGGAATTATAGAACGACGATTCTCCGCCGATCTCGTAGCGGACTTAGAAGCTTGCGAACTGTATCCCACAAATACTATCGATGAAACTTTTCAGACTTTCTCCACTAGAGTTTTCACATCTGGATAATGCCATTTCTGCGCATTTTGGTCGTTACGAAGTAATTAAAAATTTACTGCTTGAGTGCTCATTCGGGATAAATCACTCTCTAATATATTAAGTATCGATATCAATTCCGAACGAAGAATAAAATATTTTCTTACATTATTTTCAATAGTAATACGATAGGAAATATATTTTTTGTCTTATAATTGATCTCAAAGGCAAAAATTACAAAGTAAAAAATATATTTTTATTAAGGTGGTACTTTAATAAATTGAATTACCATAAAAATGTCTAATTTTATTATATAATGAAGTTGAAATACCGAAATTGATGTGTGCAAAATTCTACGGTAGATCAACGATGAAATATAAGAGAGAAAAAAAATGTTGAAGATGTAACCTTTCACGTATAACTTAGTGACGGATAAGGCTCGCAGATGCTTCTTTGACTAACTGCACACAAATCTTACATTGACTTTTCTAAAAAACAAAATTATAATAATTTAAAAAATTACGATTTTAATGGTAACAAAAAAATTAATAGGTCAACGGCTATTCTGGAAAGATATTTACGTGCATAAACTTGCGTATCTGGAGACACGGTAGTGTCTCGGCGCTAATAAAACAATGAAAATTATCTAGGTACCAGATTCACCAGTTAAAGAAGCACACACTATACTATTAATGTATTCTTCTAAATCTGACTTCTAAAATCTGATTGAATGATTTAAAAGAATACACCAATAACAGCAAACGCTCACTCAACTGTTGAGTCTGCTGAACGCAACCTATATGTAAGATTCATTGCAAATAAACATACAAATCACAAATTAAATCACACGGATACAAAATAGCAACGTAAGTTTACGAACGTTACATTCGTCCTGACACTCCTCTGGCCGACCGCAATCGTGTGAAGCCACTCATCTGAATTCAGTTGGAGGGGTGCAGCCTTAGTCATAGCCCAAAATGACAATAATCAGATGCAATCGAACAAGGAAGCTCCAAAGAAGTTGATGCAATAGTCGAGTAAATTTTTCACAACATTATTAGCGTGATAACGTGAATATGTCGACTCAACAAATAACTGTGTAATGATTACACAGTTATCTGTTGAGTCGACATGGTCACGTTGTCACGCTAATAAGAATGTTGTGAAAAATTATGGCAAAATACAAATGAGTGTTAGGAGTCAGCGCTGGATATTATATTGCGCAATGCTAACTAATACCTATTAATGTGTCACAAATTCAATTTTAATTTTGTACGTTTCGGCTCACTATTCGAGCTATCCTTAGCAATAAAAAATTACCACTTATCGCACTATAAAATCTGTCGAACTGCGTCTAGCACAATCGTAGTTCCGACCTCCATTAATGCAGTCGCAGTGGAAATGTGGTGAGAGACAATCATCTTCAATCATAGTCTAATGTTATGCCAACAGCTTAGTTGAGTGGAGTAGATAGTGGAACTCGAGTTAATAATTGCAACGAGATATTTTTCAATAAATGGATATTAATTTGCATAATTAATGTATGCCAGCCAGAAACCCTATCTCCAACAACGATCATAAGCGAATCCAAGCATCGTCAATCCATTACAAAAATTTAAAAATCACGATGTCAAAGTTAGATTGAAAAATTATTTAAGTAACATAAAAGAGAGTCATGTTCGTTCTGATGTTAATCACATAATACTCGTTAAATACAAAAAATTATTAAAAAACTTTATAGCGCACCTCTAACCGCGCAGTTATTATTTACTCTCTCTTGCCCTTTGTTAATTTTATTGTTTGAATTTTGAGAGTCCATTATTATATTTCGTTAATTGGTGCTAAGTTATAAATCCCTTACCAAATTAAATAAATAATATTAATTTTAATTTACTTAACCCTAGTGATATTTTATTATTTATATAAAAGATTTGATATCAACAACTGAAAATAATAAAATAAACATAACTCATTCATAGAACAATTTAAGATCTTTAAAATTGGTCTGTTGCATTTTTTTGTATGACTAACGGTTTTGATGATATATTAACGTGAATGTTCGCATGAGCGACATTTTTTATGAATTTCTGCAACTTACAAGTGTGAATCATTTCATGAAAAAAGATCTAAAATGGTTTTTCGTGAAATTACTACACGTGTCTCATATTGTTATCTGTAGAATACGTCAACAGATTAAAAAAAAATTTAAAATGGTAATGTTTTAAAGACGCTAGGTTTGACATGAAATGCCTTAAATACGAGCGTCCTTGTCACGTGTAATTAGTCATATCAGACGCTGTGAAACATCGGCGATTATCGGTCAAATAATTAAAGGTCTCTGTGAAGAGGAAGCGAAGGGTAGGACGTAATAAATAAAAACCCGTCGGTTGTGCGGTGAGGTGAACATACGTTTCTGGAATATCGTTGGTGCCACGTAGATTTTGTGCTGAGAACTCAGGTAATGTCAGTAATGTCAAATTGCTTATCAAATTGAGAAAAATCCTGTTGTAGTCTTCATAGATACTGGAAATATAGCCAAAATTATCAGGCCTTATAAATTTCTTAGTAGAAGATACACCGAATCGTAAAATTATTTCGGATGTCCGAAAAGAATGTATTCGGTCGGATATCTGATATTTTCCGGATATTTGACCGGATTCTGGGACAATGTCTAAAAAAAAGCTGAGCGAAAAAGAAAAACGGGAGCAAAAAGGGAAAGGGACTGTTATGGGAAAAATAATGATAATAATTATAAGAACACATCTAATACGAGCTAGAAATTAAATGTTTATACTGATCGAAGCTTTCTTTTTTATTTCAACCTCGCAAAAAAAGTAATAGTAATTTTAACTTCAAAAATTACTACATAAAAATAAAAGATATGATATCAGCAACTAATATCAAGTTAAAGAAAGATTTAATATCAACAACTGGTGGGAAGTTATTAAATTTTATTATTCTCTCTTATTCCAACCTACCCCCAAAAAAAATATAATAATAACTTTCATTTTTCGTTAACAATATTTTTATTGAAGGTCTTTTTATTTCAATCCAAGCAATAATACCTTCAATTACCTTTCAAAAAGTCGAAGCGGATTAATGCTTAAATAATTTAATGTGAATTATGTAAAGATACCATATATGTATGTACATGCATATATATCCTATTTATAGTCATTCGAACTGCGCGTCAAATAGGTTTTTCGGACTTATAAAAGCAATTAAACTACTGTAATAATAATTATAATTTTAATGTTATCGTCTGAATTTGATTATCAATAGAGATAATGACTGTAGAGAAAAAAAATCGTAATTTTGCAGTAATGTATAAGATATAGTTATATGAGTATGCTCTTATTTATATAATAAAAAATCAACAATTTAATGATATATTATATCCAAATATTTATGTTAATAATCACAAATTTATATCAATTTATATCAATTGTCAATAATATCAGCGTTTTTCAATTATTTCCGGGCCCTCGAAACCCTTTTTGTATGGAAACTTTGCCCAGGTTCTTAATAGTATCTCGTCGGTGGCATAAGATATCATTTTATCCTTCTTTAGTGTTCGATGAACAAGGACAGATGATCCATCAAGCGCTTTATGTGTAATTCGGAACGCGCTCTATATTCTATTCATGTTTTATGTCTAATGAATGATTCCTGAATGCAGCCTTAGCTGAATTTCTTGAACAATTTATCTTTTTTTTTTAATCTTCTCAACATGAAAAGAAAAAGAGTGAAAACGGACTATGTACCAGAATTGAACTTGGTGCCAGTTGTCGATATTAAATCCCATTACTATCAATAATATCAAATCTTACATACAAATGGTACATACCAAATCTTTTATACAAATGATGTATACATTACCAGAGATAAGTAAATTATATTGTATGTCCTTTACTGTACAGTAAGAAATTAACATTGCATTAACAGAATTTTACTTGACACCACAATTGTTGATATCAAATCTTTTATATGGATCATTCTAATCATACAATATGAATCATATACATCTCACTAGAGTTAATTTAAAAATTTGTAATACTTGGTCAAAATAGGAACATAATAATTTTAATGTAATAATTTTTGAAGAGTGATTGAAGGTATTATTGCTTGAATTGAAATAAAAAGACCTTCAATAAAAATATTTTTAAAGAAAAATGGAAGTTACTATTATATATATTTTTTTTGATAGGTTGGAATAAAAGAATAATAAAATTTAATAACTTACCATCAGATGTTGATATTAAATCTTTCTTTAACTTGATATTAATTGCATTGATATTAATCTTTTGTTTCTATGTAGTAATTTTGGAAGTTAAAATTACTGTTACTTTTTTTGCGAGGTTGAAATAAGAAACTTTCAATAAAAATACAAAAAGATACATAACGTATCACTTATTGTTAGTAAAAATAATATATTTATTATACAGGAAAAAGAATCATTTTAACAATTCCAGTTACATGCTTATATATGAGAAATATCTAAATTATCATAAGAAAAATAAAATTAGATGGAACATGGATTTATAGTAATATATCATAAAAATAAATTATAAAACTCTCTTTTAAGTAATACATTTTGTTCGTTATTACTATTTTTTACTTTGGCTAATTAGAGTAATCGCATTGTTGACGCATTATTGACGTAAGCAGTTTAACAAGTTAATTCGCAACGATATCTTCTACAAGTTGGAAATAAATATCTTATATAAACACGAATTTTAGGTGAAAAAAAGGAGTGTTATTTCAGAAGTCTCAGAAAGTAATACGCAAAAGTTAGGACAACAATGACGAAAATTATAATCATAACTTGCATCATTGCAGTTGTTTGCGTAAGTTTTTAATTTTTGAATCTAAAACAGTGTGTTATTTAGATTGTAAAAATTTAATATTTAACAAAAATTGTAAAAACTTAAAAAATTTTATTTGATATTTTTTTGTAATTTACATATAAATATATAAAATAACATTGTGTGTGCAAGTAAAAGTGTTTTTCTGTTTTTCGAATATTTAAAATAATTATGCATATACTACATATTTTACGTATTGAAAATATGGTAGTTAAGGTACAATAAAATATTTTAAAGATTTTCATGCACTCTTCAGTAAAATTGATCAAAATTATTTTATATTATATTGTAGTTTTGTATTAATGAATAAGAGAGATTTGCATTAAAATTCTTCGAAATACACGATGTTGTTCCACGATTGTCATATTTTCAGAGTAAATTCTAAGAAAAAATGCTCTCCGTGTACACCACGCGCAAACACACACACACACACACACACACACACACACTCTCTCTCTCTCTCTCTCTCTCTCTCTCTAATTAATTCTTAATTGTATTATTAAAAAAATTAATTTTATAAAAAAATGGCAGTATTTTAAAATTGCATATTGCTAATTTTTGAAATTTCATATAGTTAACAGATGGATTTGTAGTACGCCAAACAGGACTTTCAACAAGCAACCCTGATGTGAGCAATAATATTGAGGATACTAGCCTCAATGAACAAACTGATTCGGCTGAAAGTAAAGAATTTATCGATAATCTGAAAGAAATTGTAACAAAGCACCTTCAAGATATTTTTAATTGTGGTTCAAATTATGAATGCTTGACTAATGTAAGTATTTCAATTAATTTTTATTTGCTTTAATTCTTAAACATTCTTTTTATAATAATTTATAAATATTTTTATATAATAATACAAAACTTTTTGATAACGTCATAATAAAATATACTCTTGCATTCTAATGCGTAAAAATGTTTATACAAAACTTTGATTAATACATTAAATATATACGTTAAACCTGCTTGCTTGCTTTTCGACAACGTCGGAGTAAAATTTTCACTATTAAATCCACATTTCACTTAAATATTATTTAATATAGTTGAATTATACAAAATGTTCACGTATAGTACATTTATTATTTTAGAAATTACTTTATTAATATTAATTATATTTTTATTAAATGTTGTAAATATTATTTTATACAAGTTTTATATATATTTTTTTAATCTGATAATATCGATCAATGCCGATCACACTAGTTCGGCAATGAAAGTTCAAATGTTCATAGGTGATCAGCACAATATTTAACGTGTTAAATTATAATTGTTCAAAAGACTTTTTAAAGGAACTTTAACATATTTTTTTCAGGTTATAAAGAAGATAATTTGCGAAATAATGCAAACTACAAATGCGAATTATCATAATATCACTGGAATGATATTCCAGAATTTTACAAAAATTTGGCAGTTATTCACTCAGGTTATGAAAACCTTCCCAGACATAGGACAATATTTACAAATTATTCAGCCATAACTTATATTATAAATTATTTATGCGTCAATATAACTCTATTTTTACCTGCATTACAATATACATAAACATATATGTATAGTATAAATTTAACCTTGAAAAGTTAATATAATCTCATATTGAATTCGTTCGATAAAGACGCAACTCTTGATTTATTATCATATGTTCCATACTATTTCATTAAGATATACACATAATTTATCCAAATTATGCAGATATTTGTAATTTTGGGTAAACCCCGGTGAGGCACCCCAAATTTTCGCCACTTTACTAAAGAATCACCTTAAAAGAATGAAAATTAAATTTAATGTGAATCATGGAAACGTCTTAATTATTTTTTAAATGTGTATTTGATAAAAAATTTCCGGTGAGATTGACAAGATATCGCGATATCACTTACACCTTCAATCAAAACGTAACGTTCGAGAGGGTGTTCGTGTGACCGATATAACGTTCGGCTCTAAAATTCACACCTCCTGTTAGCATCGGGGATCGTTACCGGCTCGACCGGCGTTATCTGGGGTACGCATCTCCCGTGCTAATGCAATACATGCGCCGGTGTGACGATATATTGGTCGAGTAAAAATATACGAGTGCTCTAATGGGCGCCAGTCGTACCGGGGTCTACTGCTAGGGGTGAGAAACCGGAAAGTGACCACGTGCACAGCCCCGCGTCCGGTACGGGTTGGCCTGTATTTCTGCTTCTTCCCGAAGGGAACGTTGACGAGAGGACCAAATGAAAGTCCGGCGAGCAAGAAAGAGGGACAGGGTTTTCTCGGACCGATACATAGCTAAACGTGTCCGTTTTTGTTAAATTTTTTCTGTGTTAACTGTGGTTTCTTTTTTATTATGTCTATCTTTAAACTATATATGTTTGAGAATAATTTTTGTAATTCTTTTCAATCTTTTACAAACGATACTTCATCTTTGTGCAACTTATAATTTGCTAAATATGTAAAAAAGCGCCAAATACGACTAGATATTGATGTCTAATAATATATTCCTATATAAATTTTAAATATATCTTTCAGTTATGTAGGGTGTCCCAAAATAATCTTCAAATATTTCATGGGCAGGTAGAACGGACTAAACTGAGTCGAAAAGTCCTCTACCATTTTGCAATTTTTGCATTAACAAGATATTAATTACTAAAAATTACCGAAAATTGGTCTTCAATAATTTTTTACTCAAATACTATCAACTTTATAAAAAAAATTGCTAGAAACAAAAATTGTTTATTTTCTTCTCATAGAGCACTAAGAATTTTTTCAAAATTTTCTATCAACTGTTTAGTACTGCATTTCCAACATAAGAAAATACGGTATTAAAAAATTTTGAAAAAATTCTTAGAGTTCTATGAGAAGAAAATAAATAATTTTTGTCTCTAGCAGTTTTTCTGTAAAGTTGATATTTGATTGTATTTGAGTAAAAAATTATTGAAGACCAATTTTTGGCAATTTTTAGTAATTAATATTTTGTTAACTATTGCAAAAATTGCGAAATGGTAGAGGACTTTTCAACTCAGTTTAGTCCGCTCTACCTGCTTACGAAATATTTGGCGATTATTTTGGGACACCCTGTATAAACTTCGTGCCGATTATTGTCGAACTTGCGATGCAATCACACATTACAGTAATAATTTTCCAAATTAAATTGATCATTGATTAGATAACAATGCGACTAGAATCTTTAAAAAAATACTGTAAATAATTTATATCTCTCTCATAATTACTTTTTCATATACGTATATAGTTATAATTTTAATTTAATTTAATTATTGAAAAAAATTGATTTAAAGTTATCAGAAAATTTTGTCAGAGTTTGTAATAATGCTCTTTTGCAACACGCTGTAGAACGATTTTCGAATATAATCCTTAAGCTCGATGTAACCGCAGCAGCATAGACATTGCACTTGCGGTATACTCGAATGAATCGAATCGAAGCCCAGCCTCCCTCTACTTCGTTAGATGTAATTAACGATTTAACAAATTACGTTTAGGGATAATGTCGAGAATTACTGCAGTTAACTCTCATTTAAGCGCTTATCGATAATGCGGTATGCGGAATATTTAATATATTATTTAATAATAAATATAAAGTAATAAATTATATACAAAATTCTTTTTTTCTCTTCATTGGATATAAAATAATCTTTAAATTCTTAATGTTTTTAATCGAAATTTAAAAAAAAAATTGAGGTTTGATAATTAAGCCTAAAATTCTGTTAAAACATAATCAAGTTAAAATTAAACGAAAAACAAAATGTTGTTACTTATTTACAATGAGCGCAAAAAGTATTCGGACAGAGAAAACATTTTTTTAAAAAACTTTATTTTTAAAAAGTAAAATTATCCAGCAAGAAATGAATCATCGAATTGACGTCGAATGAATATCGATACGATGATTTCAGCATCAATTTGACGTCAATTCGACGTTTATTTGTCAATTGACGATTATTTCTTGCTGGATAATTAACAATTTATTCATAAAGAATGAAATAAACTATATGTTTCTTAAAATTATATATACCAAAAAGATGTGTATTAATAATAGAAAATATATCATCTGAAAAATATGCGAAAATTAAAAATTGTATTGTTTGGATGATCAAAAAGTATTCATACAGTCGAGAAATTTAGCTTCTAAAATCAGAAATACATGCAAAACTCGGTTGTTTATATTAGAAAAGAATGTATTCGTTGTATAAAATTGTTAATTAATGTTTATTTACTACAAATAAGACTTTTTTTATTAAAAATTTCCTTGTACGAATACTTTTTGCTGTCACTGTATATTCTTGAAACTTTATTCACACGAAATAAGTTTCCTTTCCAATTGTATTTATAACTTAAAAAGTATTTTCGATAAAAGAAGATTGATCACATAAATAACTTATATTTGATGTTTGTCAAGTATGTTATAGAATATCTCCGCAGGATATTATGTCGCATTAGAGACATCTTATGAAAAGTAAGGTTTCGTTATGTGGCGTATAACAATGATTCTATTCAAACTTCCTTCACTAATACGAGCCAAAAACATACTGACCTTTCTTCAGAAATCCAATAAAAATCGTCGAGCTGCGTGATGCAAGTAGGCATAAATGGGGCTCTCCAACTTTCGGAAACTGAAGTCGTAATTTTTACCTGCTGAGCAACCCGTATCTAACTCGTGTCGTCGTGGTAGAAAAAAAAAAAACTAAAAAGGGCTGACAGTTGCAAGGTCAGCTCAAAATGGGAGTTGAAAGCGTACAAAAAGTATCCCTTGAAGTGCGGAACCGTGAACATGCTGTCGTTTCTGAAGTTTCAGTTATCAATCGAGAGTTATAACTGTATGATTAGTGTGCGAGTCGTTACTGTCCTCAAGTTTTTTTATTCGAAACTAGGCACTGTTGGTTAGTGCGCAAATATGATCGATGGCAAGTATGACAGCTCTCTCGGGACTTGCGAAATTCATTCGTTCCGGGATATAACGTAATGAATTGATAGAGTGCTCACGACATGTTGCGTATCTATGCAGGCTATATGGAGGATACTTGTAAATTAATGCAGATGAGCAAAATGAGGATTTTATTTGCGACTATAAAATGTTACGTTACCAATTATAAAATGAAATTTTAATTCAGAGTTAATATCGATAAATAATTTTTGTAATAATATTTACTTGTTTACAGTGACAAGATAAAAAGCGCAAATTTAAATGTTGTTTTTATCGACGTATGAATATGCAATATAATTTTAGAAATTACAACAAATGTTTTAAATATTATCCATATTTAATTATGATGCATTAAAATATTAAAATTATAATATTGAATACATTTATTTTCATTTCTTTTGAATTTGAATAAAAATACCTGGGAATATAAAACACTGTAATTGCTATTTTTACAATGAATATGATCGTGGTTCAAGAGGAGAAGGATCAGGTTTTCGAAAACATATGTCCACCGGACACATGTTCGTTTTGCATTGCCAAGTTTAAAGTACACGCGAGAGCGACAGTCGGTCTCCAAGTATTTGCGCCAATACTTATTTGCGGCTTATGAAAATTTCAAGTCCCATAAATCACGAGTTATGGAACAGATGTAAATTACGATTATTACCGGATTTTACTGCGTCCAAGAGCGTCTCGATAATCCGGTACTGTCGCATCGTAAAAGCGAAAGCAGGGAATCGTTATAAGCGGAAGTTTTACGGTCGACCGATCAGTAGTGATTTTAAACTTGTGTGCGTAGAAGACTCAAGGTCATCTCCAATACCGTTGATGATTCAGCAGATCGGTGATCTATTGTGGCGATTATAAAGACGAAAAATCTCGGCCACAATCATTTCATACATTATTACCAATTAAATAGATCACAGAAACCTATTATAACTCGATGTAGAATTACACTGTAGATACAAATTTATGATCGCTTTAGTGAAACTGAATTATGTATTTAAAATATTGAAGTTCTATCTTCAGAGATTGACTAGAAATGCAAATATTAAGACTTACGAAATTTAGTTTCTCTATTAAACAATATATGCACATCGGTATAGTCTGATTAATTAATAATAAGAATTCAAATATGTGTAAATACTCTAATATTTAGAAATGTAAATTTTGTATCTATTAACGAAAATATACATATATTCCATATCTATTCTTAATTGTGCATTTATCACTTCTCTTCAGTATTTAAAATATTTATAACACAAGTGTCAAAATATTATATTTATAATTACGGATTTGCTTTATAAAAATGTGTGTTTAAAAATTTTAACTTTAAGATAATCTGTACTACACGTGACGTATATTCGATAGTGCCAGTTAATACTAAAATGATTTCGACTAAAAGGAATTATATGTGTATGGCAGTGCGGCTTTCTTGTCGTGGCATATAATATAATATGACAGCTTTGTTAATAAAATAGACTAAATTCGCGATGTTATAGAATTAATAATCGCAACAATGAAATTAATACCAATGTAAAATTTTGAATATATCAAATACTATGATGAAATAGAATTTATTTATTCAAAAACACCGTTATTGATTACGTGTTCTAAATTCACGAGTGTCGAAATAATAGCAGCATGATTTTTCGCGTATGATGCTTTATTGCGATACGTACGCTTCTCTAAGAGCCGCTAAAGGCAAGTATCTCATATTGTCTACCAGGAAACTTAATCTTCAGCTGCTGCTTCCAGGCGAATGAGGTTTCATTAAAAAAATCCAATTTTCAAGAGCGACTACGTTCAAGCCAAGGGGCAAGAATTAAATTCTACGTGCTTCTTTTTTTGCTTGCGGCAGCGCGAAATTTGATGGGCTCAGAAGGAGATCCTCCCGATACGGATAGTATCCTAGAGTGCGTAAAGAGGCTGATATTAAAGGAGGAAGGAAAGGCATAAATAATAGAGGGACGGCTGTCGTCGAATCGATAGGAATCATTTTAATTACCTCACGTTTACAATGAAATATATATTATTGCCTGTAAACGGAATGTTACGGTATCTACCTGCATTGTACGTTACTTTATATCTCGTTAACAGTACCGATACGAGTTATTTATTTTAAAAGTGGTAAAGTCTATTTTTTCAAACACAGTAAACATTAACTTAAATAAAATTTTTGTAACGAATATTATTCCATTTTATAAATAAATAGCTTTTAATGTAAATTTACGAAAATTTTGAATATATCAGTGAAGTTTTAAATTTACATTTTTATATATGATCACTATAGAGGGAAAACTTCAAAAGGATGTACATCCATAAACGAGACGTGTATTTAAAGGGTAACTATCTTTATTAGCTTGGCGACATAATCTATTTATTAAAGCGATACAAGGCGGGATATTTCAATTTCGCTGGTGTCGTCGCTGAGGCAATCATGTAAATTATATATAGGTATACAGAGATAAATAGATATGTTAGGTCCCTTAGGATATGCAATACACACTTGAGGCATGAGATAGCACCGTCGATGACTAATGACGTCTACTTCGCGGTACTTCTGCTGGTAGGACACTCACTCTTATGGGACGCGCAATACCTCAAAGTAAGGGGATCTACATGCACAATTAATTGCCGGTTAATTGTGGCCGGCGTGATGCGGGCGCCATGGTGGAAATTGGCGTAACTTCGTGTGGCACGTGAACTCGTTGCGCGTATCGAATTTATGCGTGTTGCTCGCAGTGGAAATGGAAATGTCACTCGCGTCGACGCCATTTGTCGAATGTGAGAGCTATGAAAAGTGTCTTGCAAATAGTGGTAATATACAATTACGCGATCGTACCAAAATTCATTCTGCAAATATGCAGTAATCCCAGGCGACTACAGTTTTCATCGTAATGAAAGGAATTTATAAGCAGGCTCGCAAATTAATCTAGTCGTGTTGAAATTTCAATATATCGAGCGTAAATCAATTTTCGCTGATGTGGAAATTTCTCTCGCGGTTGTATCGGGATTGTAATTGTTATTTTGGAATAACAGTTTGCCTCAAATAATACCTTTTTTTTTGCTGACAATACGATATACAATAAACATTAACTAGCAAAATAGGTATTAATTATTTTAGCAAACGTACAATACTAAAAAAATAATAAAATAGTTATCCGGTACTCCCTTGTATTTTCATTATACTTTTTGTTTGATTTTCGTACTGAAGAGGACTCAGATCCACAATCGAAATGTTTGCAGTTAACTACGTTGGTAAATAAATAGATTCCAATTGTTTGCGAATTATATCTTATAGCCTCACAAATACAGAGAAAATGACATGAAAATCTCTTAAAGAAACATCCCCTTATTTCTCGGAAACTAACTGTTGCACTTTATTAATATTGATGAAAACATGATCCGTTTAGCTAATTAAAGAAGTAAAAACTCGATCCGTTTAGCCAATTAAAGAAGTCAAAATTTATACTCTCTAAAATCCTTGGAATGAAATATAATTTTAAGGAGTGACGAAGAGTGATAATTAAGCAGGTATTGAAAAAGAGTAGCTCAATTATCAGTTTCTAAAAGTGAGAGTGAAATATTTGTGACTTTTTTCTGTACAAAATTAGTTAAAAACGAACTCTATAAATGCAGAAATAAAATTTTTACGATTTTTATTTTGCAAATTGCATAGTTTGAATAATAGTGGCTATAATTTTTATAATATTACATTGTTTTACATGTTAATAATTTCTTAAATCAATTTTGTTTATATTTTCTTCTTTCTTCATTTTTCATAACCTAATTTTTTAAAATATAAAATCAGGGTTCACACATACACACGGCGTAAGTAAACCGACACACCTGTCTGTAAGATAGACCATAAGCTTAATCTTTATAGTGTCGCGTTATGTCAAGTAGCCCTTGGAACTGAAGGCAATCATATATTTATAGAAAATAACCCTTAATAAACGAAACTGTCGCGTGTTTGCGTTTGGCAGAACGGTACAAGATATGTATATAAATAAATAAAAAACGTTTTATATGAAAGTGAATAGATTTTTATGTACATTTACTTGTAGGTATTTTGTATAGATAACTGCTATGAAAGAAATGTCTACTATATTAGTTTTAGGATCCATTTTATCAGATGCTCATTTTTGTTTATTTTAAATAATAATTTAATACGAAACAAATAATTATTGAAAAATTGTAAAAAGTATTATGAAAACTTCTATATTATTTGATACAAAACACTTTCTAGTTTATATTTCATTAATACGAAACAATTAATTATTGAAAAAGTGTGTAAAAAGTATTATGAAAACTTTTATATTATCTGATACAAGACACTTTCTAGTTTATACTTTGAAAGTTTTACTTGTAGCTTTCGTTTAAGAAATATTGTCCGAAAACAAAGTAGGTGATATGTCACGGGTATCGGTGACCTTCGTCTATTATATTTACACACTGATGACCGAGAAGGTACTTGCAGGTAATTTATTTACATTTGATTTATTTTTGAAGAGTCATCATAAAACTATTTTTATTTTAATAAAATAATTTATTTTAATAAAATAATTATTTAAGGAGGCAAATTCGCTCAAAATTGTATCTTTATTGATCATGGTAATTTTATTAGAAATGTTTTAAATACGTGTAACTTCAGTCTATGTTAGAAATGCTCGGCATTCATTATCGCGCAAACAACAGTTGTAACATTAAAATGTTAAATAAACTATCAATTTTTCATCTTGCATCGGAATGAACTGCGAAAATGACTTGTGCTTGGCTTCACTCGATGGAAATTTCTTTCTCGACTTTTACCGTCGCCGCACGTTGAAATCCAACGGTCAAAGAGTAAAAAAAGGACTAACACTCTTTTCCTCGCTGCAGCCCGCTTGCTCGCGAGTATGATAAAGAGATCTCCCATCTCGCTCGTCTCACCCCAGCTTGATCCGAGAAGAATAGCATGAGTGGAAGTGTCGAACATGTGCCCGGGATTGGCCGGTGCACTTTCTCGGCCGTGGAGAACTCCAAGGAGTTGGGTGGACCGTGGGGGTTGGAGATGGGAGAGATCCGGAAAGTCCTTGGCAAAAGGTGCAACCCCCAGAGCGCGGTTTCTTGAACAGAAACGAGAGAAAGAGAGAGAGATAGATAGAAGTATGGTTGATCGTGTGCGCTGCCGGTTGAAGAGAACGGGGTAGTCGTTCGGTCGTTCGTACGTGAAGGGTCGGTGTTAGGCAGTCGGAACATGGCATAGTGGCGCGGGAAGGAATAGGCAGAGAGAGGAACCGACCACCGTTGGAATGCGAGCGGAACGAGGACGACCGAGAGTTGGGCGAGAAAGGGAGAAAGAGGGCGAAAATCGAGAGCGACAGGATGGTAGCGGGAGAGAGAGAGAGAGAGTAGGAAGAGGAGGAACAGTTCCCGAAGAAGGAGGCAGAGATGGATGGAGGGAGAAGGAGAAAGAGATACAGAGAGCCCTGGGTTGGAGAGAGTGGGAGCGAGAACGGGGAGGGCGAAGG